ACCTAGCTCTAGGCATTTACAGGATGCAAACCTTGAATGCAAATCTGAAAGGCTTAAAGGAAATTGTCTGCCCATGTTGCTTTTTGTGGGGAGCGGTATAATTACACATTCAAGAAATGGGTAAAATCCCAATGAAGCTAATCGGGTCATTGCCACAAGCTGCTCAGGGACTCCCTGTTCTAAATTAACAGATTATCTTGGGCCTCTTAAGTAACAGAGCATCATGTTAAAATTGTGCAACGAACTTCTTTTGGTTAAGTTTCAGGTTTCCAACCGTAGCACCGTTGACATTTTATGCCGGATGATTCTTTGTTGTGGAGGTGCCTTCGTGTGCATCGTGGGGTGCTTAGCAGGTACCTGGCATCTACACATGAGATGTCAGTAGCACCCCTCCTGGGCCCACAAGTTGTGACAACCAGAAATCTCTCCAGACATTGCCAAATGCCCCCTGGGGGACAAAATTGCCCCCACTGGATTAAGTGTTACCAAAATGTGAAGTATTTCTCATGGGGAAAAAATGGGAATAATACGGAAAATATTTGAATCTATGATGCATGAATCTCTACAAACAGGAATTTTTAAATCGCTTGCAAGTAGACACTGCTAGATACTGCAAGATGGGTAAAATAAATTTCTGTCATAAAAGCAGTTTATACTGTAAAGAGATAGAAGCACACTGGTGACTAGAATACAGCACAGAATATGACAAAAGTAATTTTTGGTGCTGGTGCAAACAAATTCAAAATGCTTATGAAGAAAGCTGTGAAAAATAAGTAAGGTGACCAGTCGAGAGCTATGCAGCGCTGGTGAGGGTACGCCCAGTTTCAAAAAGACAGCACCAGATGGTGTCAGGAGACTTCTATGCTCAGAAACACTGATCTAGTGGACAATTTAAAATGATAAGCATTTAGTTTGGAGGAGTTAGTCTATCTGGACTGTTTTGTTCATCTAGAAACTTAGACACTATAAAATGTGTCTGTTCAAACAAACATCAAACAAGAAAAAGATAATAGAAAGGTGAAGACTTTCCACCGCAGCATTTTATTTCCATGTGTAAATTGAACAAATGCTGGGCCTTAGGAAGTCCCTTTTACCATTTAACACAATTTCCAGACCTCTGCCAAATCCTCAGCTTACCATTCTGTCACCTAGAGTGGTTTTAGAACCACTACAAAGTCAGAGAATAATCTCTCTCTCTCTCTTTTTTTTTTTTAATGCACAAAATGCCCCAGAAAGTTTCTGGGATAGATTTGAACAGAAAGTGACTCCACGTAATAATAGGAGAGATTGGGAGAGAAGTAACATAACTGAGTTGAAAGGAAATTGATCAGGTTTAGATGTTGACTGCATTAGAAATTGCAGAAAAATTGCAAATACTGTTTTAGGATTTTTGTTCATACTCCTCTAGCATCTCAAGAACCAGACATAACTTTTGGTTTGTCTTTGTAGTGAGCGGTAGACGTGAAATTTTAAAGACAAGTGAAAAGATACATGTGATACAAATTAATGTTCTGTGTTTGCATGACTTTGTGGGATAATACATAATCAGGTGTATTTGCACATACCTTGGGCTAATACAGCATTTTCCTCCGCAGGGAGAGTGAGGGCTTTAAGGCAAGAATTTGACATTGCATATAGACTTAAATCTTGTGTATATTTTGCACCATGGAGAGTAGTCATAATAAGCTTGACCCGTGCCGTTCTTATGCTACCTTAAAAAGAAAAGAAAAAAAAAGGTGAAAAAAGTAATTTTTCTTTGTGAGTTTACAATGAAAGATAATGGTAATATAATAGTAGTCTCAAAAAATTGAAAATAATGGTCTTCCTAGCCTGACATTTATCATAATCTCTTCATTAATAAATCATCTGGGGAAGAAACGTTTTGGATTCTCACTGTCTACAGGTAAAGGCTAGATATCTTTAACTTAGAAATTGTAGCCAACCTTGATATGGACCAAACTCTCCAGTTTTATCTTTAGCGGCCTCCCACTAAGACATAAAACCTGTGGCATTTGAAATCTTTGTGACTTTTCAGAGCCCAGCTGAGAAATGACCACTTTCCTAAAGCTTTTCTATCACCTCCCAAAAGATGCGAACTCCCTATTATGACTCTCTGTGACACTTGACTTATCCCCATTTTAGTTGCAGCTGGGACTGCAACCTGTTTATCAGCTTCTTTTCCTTTCTCTCCTGGGGATGTTGCTAAACCTCAATTTCAAAGTGGGTCAATGTGACTGAGCTCTGACCAATAGAATATGGGCCAAAGGATACATGCCAATTTGAAACTTAGTCCCAAAAAATCTCCCACGTACTTCTCCATGCCCTCTTCTCATTTCTTATCTTCTAGTGGGAGTCAGAGGATCCAAGGGATTCAGTGGGTATCCAACATTCTAGAGAATGGAAAGTCACCAGATAGACCTTGTGTACTCTATGTCTTAATGCAAACTGAAACACACTGGAATATAATATGAGTGCAAAATGAGCTTTTATTGTATAAAGCCACTGAGATACCGAGGTTATTGGTTACAGAAGTTACCCTAGCCTGAGAATTTCATCATTGTGTTTATCATATTTTAGTCCTTTACGGTATTTGTCATTTGTCTTCTGTTTTCCACATTGCTTGGGATGATGCTCTTGCATAGTAAAGATTCAATATGTAATTCATGATTTAAATTCATGATCCTGTTATGCTCGGAGCTAATGGGGAAAGTTCCACAGTCAGTATCAGTTGAGAGGTGGTGGGAGCTGGGAAGAGGCCAGTCAGGCTCTAGGGAAGAGATACTGGAAGGTGAGTACCCAGGCGTGGCTGACAGAACCCTTGGGACTTCGTTCACGACATCACCACCAGTGTCTACAGCTGGATTTTACATCAATACGGACAGGAGCCTTCTTGAAAGAGAGAGGCTCTTCCCTGGAGGAAACCCAGAGGGCCCGGAATCTGAAGATTTCCTCTTCTTATCAGGTTGCCACAGAAAGGAAATCCGTGTCAAAAACGTGTCCCGCAAGCATAGCTCTGGAGCCTCGGGTGACATTTGAGATTACCTGGTGATCACTGAAGCCCCTGTTTTATGAGGAAGCTACACTCAAAGAGACAAATGACCTTCTCAAAGTTCCTGATCTGATCCTAGAATCTTCTCTGTTACAGATAGCTTTATTTCTCTAGTTTAAAAAATAAAATAATTAAAAAAATACCTTTTTCAAACAACCACTTTCAAATTCAACATCTCCTTTCACCCCCACTTCACACGAAACCAAAATGAAATATACGTGTGATGGAAGAGTGTGCTCTGTGTAGGAGACGTTTGAGGAAGAAGATTGTTCTGTTTTGTCTAACCTTAAATTTATAGAATTCTAAAAGGTCTGTCACTCTATTGCCCAAGGGTGATGCTGCTTAAATACAGGCCCTTGAATACTGCAATGATTTAGTGGAAGGGGTGCTTTATGAAATTATATGCACGAAAGCAACCAGTCCGAAACACTGCCAGAATCCGCAGGTTCATGTAGTTCTGCTGTGTATCACCCTCCCACTCCTCTCACTGAACCAACCGACTCTGTCTTCATTGTTCCCCATTCTGACGCTTCCAGACTCTGACGCATGCTCCTTTTTAGCCTTCCATTCCAGCTGAGGCACAAATATCCCCCACTCGCAGTCTCCACCTTCTACTCCCTCCCATCCCGCCCTTGCTCTCATTCGTCCAAACCAGCATCTGCCACCCACCCCCATCTCACAGAATGAAGAGGACTAGTACTATGTGCTCATGTTTGCTTTGAGGGCTTCCTCAAGAGGCCCATTGTTTGATACTTATCTGTTCATGTGTCTGACACCAGACCAGACTGAGCTCAGCCCCAGGATCAAAAACAACAGAGAGGCGTTCAGCATGCCTGTTTTGAACAACCGTGCGGAGTGCTTATCTCATACATTGTCTCTTCCAACCATGCCAGCAACACTTCAAAGGAGGCATGAGTGTCTTCATTCCACAAATCCCTTGTTTAAAATAGGTGATAAGAAGCAGCATCGTGATTGTACCCAGACTGGGTTAGCTCTGATGTCAGACTTGTCTGTGGACTCTCTTGGTAATCACTCCACTTGGTGATCACTCCTGCTGTATCTTCTTCCCACCTTCCCACTCTCTTTTCTCACTTCTGCAGATATTCCTTTATTTACCATCTTCTTTCATTCCCTCAGATTCAATGGTTAAAATGGGAAACTGGGTTTTTCAACCTGTTCATTTCCAGAACACTACTTTGTCACCTTCCCCCCCATTCCTGTTATTTGAAGTCTACCTATAAAATTACCTATGCTGTATTCTTTCACTTCTCCCAGCCTCAAAGCAGTATGATTTTTAGCTTCTGACATGCTTTCTTTCACATCTTGTACTCAATAATTTAATGATACATAAAAATGATATTTCAGATTCCTCAAACTCTTCATTTTCAGACTTTCTGCCTTACTTGAAACACACGTCCATTTCTTTTTCACCTTGTAAAGAACTTGATCTCACCTTGGATCACATCAATACAGGGACATTTCCAGTTTACAGGTCTCATAATTCCTATTATCTCTCAAATTACATTGTGTCTACCAAACCTGTATCTTCCAACACTACTGTTCAGCTATTTCCTCTTGAAATTCTCTTTGCTTCTAAATGTCAGATGCCATGTCATTTTTCTCTACTCTTTCATTTGTCATAGGATTGAGGATTCTGAATCTATAAATGGAATAATGTTAAGCACACTGGAGGGGACATGTGCAAGGGTTTGGGATAAATCCAGCATTCGTGTGAATACTTGTTCTTTGAAACTTCAATTCACCTGTTGAGGTGTTAATGTAGTTTCCTACAAGCGGGGACCTGCAGACGCCCATGCCTCTGACTCTATAATAGAGAGGCACCCCTAGGGGGCGCTCCGCCTCACAAAATTTACGTGACTGCCAGGAGCGTGCCTAACGGATGGGATCACTTTAGGGGTGTGGCCTCAGAGGAGAACTTAAGCGCGCAAGAGTTTGGGTCAGAAACAGGTCACAAAACCTATGTAGAAGAGCCTTTGAAGAATGTCTGCTGTGAGCCTGAACCAGCCCCGGGTATCCAGCGTTCGCAAAGCAAAGGCTGGGAGAGGTGAGCAACATGCCCTTAGACGGTGTGCCTTTCTCCACGGCGTTCCCTCAGCTGACTCAGCAGGAGTGGATGGAGTTTGCAGACTTGCTCTTCTGAGGGTTCCTCCTGGCCGGCACTCTGTATTGCTTTAGTTGAGTTGACTTCTGGACCAAGCCAGCTGTGTTCCCCTTAACGTCTGCGACAAGCCACTTAATGGAGGAGCGCGGTGCCAGGCAATTAGCCTTTGAAAGACTCAGCCTTAGACCGGGCAAGGATTATGACGACAACAGACGCGGTGAGTTAGGTACTGAGCAGAAAAAAAAAAAATGATGCCTTCAGTTATTGCAGTGCATACAACAGACTTTCCCGTACTGAGGTCCAGACAGTACTCGTGACCTTCTTCTCCAACAAGAGTGACCGCAATTCCCTGGAGTGAAGATCCTCCTAATTCACCCGCAGAGTCGCCTTTAGCCTCCTCGTCGACCTTTGCCATCAATTGATGAAGGGCCATGTGTTTTCGCAGTGCTGTATTAGGAAAAAGAAATGACAGAAAGGGCCTGACATCAAATCATGTACTTAAGATTCTGCAGCTCTGGGTGGCAGCCACATGTCAGGGGGAAGGAGAATTGTTTCCAGTCTGGGGAAGCTCCCAGTTTCTGACCCGGGCTGACAGCGGGCTCCGGCCGCCCCCGAGGACCGAGGACGAGGAACCCCGGCCTTAGCCCCGCCCCCTCGGCCGGCCCGCGGGGCTGCGCTGCCCGCCTGCCCCCCGCTCCCCGCCCGGAGTGCGGCCGGCGCGCGCCTGTGGGTCCGTGTGTCTGCGTGCGTGTGTCCCTGGGTGGGAGATGAATTGGAGTCATACGACTGGGAGTTGCCTTCCGAGTGGTTTTGATCAGCAATCCATTAGGGGATCATGGAAACTCTTTTTTCTTTTCTGGCTAAAAGGATGAAAACTGAGTAAGTACATAGAACTTTGAACTTGAAACGGAATGAAACAAATGCAAGCAAAACCCTGCGGATGGTAACCAGGTCCATTCAGAGCATGTTTTCCCTTTTCTGTTAAAAGCCGTGAAGGTTTACAGGAAAGTGGCAATTTAAACCGGGATGAAGGGAAGCAGTTAAGAAACATGAAAGGCTGAAAAGCAGGACTGCTTTAAAACGAGAGGAAAAATGAGGAACTTATGTTAAGGCCAGCTGGCCTGCGCCCAGCTGTGCAGCAGCGCTTTGGTTTAAACCTACTGCGTTCTCCAGTGCTGTTTTTAGGCTTCAGATTTACTTTGGTGCTGTTTCTCTTTTCCTGTGAAGCCTTTACTGTGAGTTTAAGGATGTTGCGAAAATAAGGCACCGCCGGAAGCCACAGTTTGGCAGCCTGGGCTACGCTTAGGTTATTAGTTACAACTATTATTATTTTGATGTCTTTTTTTAACCCAGGCCAGTCACTTTTCGCTGTCAGCCATGGAAGGGCTCTTATAAACCGCCTCAGACTTTTGGGACCTACGCTTCTTTGGCATGACACTTCGGAAAGTTCTGAACTGGGGATGGAGCTATCTTGATTTAAGTTGTGGAAAAAGAAGACAGATTTGTTATTTTTCATGCTGACAAAAAATAGCTGCTATGACTTTTCCGGCATCGTGGACGGCGGCCAAGTGAAGCTGGACTGGTCATGGTCTGTCGTCCAGTGTTCCTTTGTCGTCGGCGATTCTGCCCCCGGCCCTTCTTGGTGGGCTTGGTGGTGGCAATCTGTCTCTTCTACCAGACCCTGACACTCCGGGGGACGAGGAAGCTCACAGCAGCTGTCCCCGGGGCTGCCCCAAACACACCCACCGAAATCCCAGCCAGCAGATGCAAGAAAGGATTCTCCCAGGACAAGCAGTGCTTGCTTCTCTCCGGTGATGCCCAGGAAATCGGAAAGGTAAGGCTGTCATAAGCTTAACCTTGACATTTTCTGCAAAGATAGCAGTCTGCCGCTCTGTCCCTTCTGTAAGACTAAAATTAACTTCTGTGAGGTCTGAAAGGGATCCAGGGTATTCATGGTCCAGAGAGTAACCTTACGACATGTTAGCTTCAACTCCTTATGTTTACTTTCAGAGAGCCCTGGCCATTATGTTCTCTCTCAGGATTTCGCTTCATTTCAGCTGAATGAAACAGACAATTTGGAGAAGCTGGAAGTGGATTCCTTCTAGAAATACTGGGATTCTAAAAAATCTGAAGATTTACAGTGCAGGAACATAAATCAAAGATTCAGAAAACTTGGTAAACATGGAGGGTCTCTTTTCTCCAGGCAGTTAGTACAAGTGGCCAGATCATTCCACACTCAGAGTTGTCCCCAAATTACACTTTATAATTGATTAAGTCGATTTTTTTTATTGCTGAGCACGTTTCTAAAGCAATATATTTATTTCTCAAGCATTTAAAGATAGTATAATAGGTTTCTTCAAAAGAATTGACACACTGCACTTTATTGTTTGTAGAAATAGGAAAATACAGATTATTCTAACTTACACTATTCTAATTAACTTTACATGTTGGAAAAAACACAAAGCACAGATAAACACACAGAATCTCTGTTTTAATATACCACTCTGTTCATGCCTGCTAGTGAAATGATGAGCTTTAAAATAGCCCAGTCTAAAGAAGAAAAAGAAAAGCACACACAGAAATTCCTGGTTGCAAAACCACTGATTTCTGTGCTACAGTAAGTAGTGTAGCAAGGTAATTTGGGAATGTCTAAGTACTATCATATCTGCAGTAGAGTTAGGTAGATCCTATGATCATGGTTATTTTTTGGAGCAGAGTTTCCTGTTGAATACCAATACTTACTGCTACCATTACTGCTAATACCACTACCGTCTTGTTTTAAAGACTCTTTTATGTATTTCCTTTCAGGCTCATCGCCCTTGGAGATAGGTAAAGCAGATCTGATGACTCTAAGACGTTAGGCAGGCCACAGGGCTAACATTATGACATGGTGCATTCATCTGGTTCCTCCTGCAGGGCGATGCGCCAAAGGACAGTAAATTCAAACTCTAATAACAATTTGTGAAACCACAGCTGTAAGAACTTACCGATATACAAGATGATATCAGATTTGAACAAAGGCAATTTGAAGACTTTTGAGTGACTTATTTTACCAGCAATGTCAAGAAATATCCTGACCAAGAAATATGACCAAAAAAAATAAAAAAGCAGTTAATACAAGTAGAAACACCTTTAGATGAAACTTCAACTGCAAGTGTGAATCAAATATTAAATGCTCTAAAGTAACTGAAGATACCACATTTTTCGTTAGCTTTAACTTAACTCTTAGTTGCATTTTTTAATACATCATATTTATGATGAGTGTAAACTATGACCTGAAAGTCATTTCTTGTTTGTTTCCAATGAGTATAATTTCCTTAAAAAATATTCAAGTACCTAAAATTTTCACTAAGAATTTTGGACAAAAAGGTCTTTGATGCATTAACTTACAGCCCTTCTCACTCACTACTTGACTTTACATGACTCCTGCTCTTGCCTGTAACTTAGGCATATGTTAACTGTTATTTGTAGGCTGTCACAGAAAATTCCATTTCAGCTTTGGATCTCCTGCCACTTGTAAACCATCTGAAACTTACTGGCTGCTAGTGTAAAACTTCACTCTAGAGTTTTCTTCACAAAAAATGCCAAACACAGGATGATTTTTTTCCCACACTCTTTAATATTTTAACCATCAGCAAGGTTCTGAATTCACAATTATAGTTCAAAAGCTCAGTGGATATGAAAACTGACTTTCCAAACATTTGCCATATACCTCTATTTTCAGCTTAACTTGGACCAGCTGTTTGTTTATAGCCAGTCTTTATTAGACAGATAGCAAGCTAGAAGGAATCACGTGGAAGCTAGTTAAGATCAAATATAAATTAGTTCTCCTTGTAATATATGTTCCAGGAAAGAATCAAATAATCATCCCATTTTGAAGATGAAACAGCTAAAGTGAAAAAAGAAATATCTTTGGAGTCAATACTCAGATCTTCGAAAACAGTTGTGAAGTTCATTAAAAAAAAAACTGTTGAGGTGCTATATAGATTTTCCTCAAGACCTAAAATATAGCTGTTAGGCATTTTATAGAAGAAGCATTGTTTGTATCTATAAATTTCAGATTTTGTTATTACTTTTACTGGCAAACTAAAAATCGTCATGTTAGTAGGGCTTCCCCTTACTTGTAACCATTCATCTTTAGGTGATTTTTCAAGTTACCTAAAACAGCTGGTTTTGACCTAAGAGTCATGGATTCCAGGAAATATTTGGATGTATAAGATATCTACCAAACCCAGGCACTTTATGCAAAAAAAAAAAAATTGTGGGTACGTGTATGTGCAGTTCTCTGGGGGAAATTATGATCCTTTTCAGATGTTCAGACCTAAAGAAATCATGGGAAATAAGAAAAAGTTTTAAAAGCCATACATTTAAACTTTAAACTAACAGCCCCTCTGGAAGTGTAAGTTGGGTCCAAGTTTATAAATCTGAAAAAGGAAAAAAAAAATTAATTAAATAATCTCCTTGAGGACAGTTGAAAAAGCACCGCAATGAATGCTGTAGTGTCTGCAGGGATAAACATTCAGAAACCAAAGTATTTTCACAGAATATTTCTCTAATCATAGTTTTCATACCTTCATGAATAAGCAGTAAGTATTTCTCCCTCGTTTGGTTGTAGTTCTTTCTAAGAGAGGACCCTGTACTTTATCAGCCTCGTAACAGAGGGTTCTGTAGTAGCAAATATTTAAAGGTAAGTGACTGTGCTCTTTCCACCTTTGCAGTTGGGACCTGGTTCAATGTCGAAAGCTGTCTTCAGTACAGATTGAGATCATGGTATAGCAGATGCCAACTTTCCATAGTGAGGAAGTGTTCTCCCTCTTCTGGCCAAATTTTAATTCTTTTTTCCATTTGAGCTTTCCAAAGGGCCTTGCTAAGCAGATGTGTGTTTGTCATTTCTTCTGGGTTTTCTCCCAGCATTAGTTGTTTAAATTTTGGCTGATAATCTGCTATGTCTTAAAATGACTTCAATTGAATATATACCCTGAAGGCAATTTCAGTTATCTTCACTGAAGTAGGTCTCTCAAAAGATTTATTTATTTTTCTAAAATCTAACATCTAATATTTCATAACATAGGAAGGGCATTCAATTTTATAAACAGACCAATGGAAGAAAGTCCCCTTGGTATATGCTCCTTTAATGGAAAATTTGCTATTTGGGGAATACATTGACACTCACCATAGCCATGTGTTTCTGATTACCTCCTGTTGATGCTCCAAGGAGACTTACCATTTCTTTGTTGCTTGACTCTTCGTTTTCCAGTTCTCCCTGACTCTTTATTCTTCAGTGAGTGTTCTCTACAACTACTGTCCCAGTGCCAACCATAACCCAGTGCAAATAAATGAATGTTTTCACTACAAACAATTTTTATTTAATCTGTGTTTCTAATAATGCATAATAAATTTAACATTTGAAAATGTCTGAAAGTTACTTGTTTAGCCTAGGTTTTCCAGAAACAAAACCTATGGCAAACACTTAGATGCCAACATTTTATTGATTGGTGCAATTCCAGGGACGTAAGAGAGGGGGAAATAAAGGAAGAAGGAGAACAACTACAAATAGGGGACTTATTGGGAGACATTTCCAGAGAAGCTGTATTAGACCATTGCATCTCAGAACAGGCACTGGGGGAAAGGGGAGGGAAGCACAAGCAATTTATCTCCTGGCTTTCCCCTTCCGTCTTTCATTGATTAGAGTTGGTCCCATGCTACTTGCATGTAATGTTACCTGGGCTCTCTGGACAGCCTTGGGGGAGCCAGGGCATCAGTGGGTGCAGTCCTGCCAGGGCAAAGGTGAGGTGGTCCCTCCCTTTCAATCTGTACTGCGCATGGGAGCGCCCAGGTCTGTGGTGGCCATGGTGGTGAAAACGGTGTCCGTAGCTTTCTGATCACAATAATGGCATGAGTGATGCCCACTGGAGAGGTATGTGAGGCAGGGTGATACAGTAGTCGTGCTAATTTTGCTTTCTAAAATCCACAGACAATTTCTAAGTATGTTCCCACTTTTGGGAAATGGCATCACTTTCTTTCAATAAAATATATGTAATTATCTCATTGAGAATGCTCCTCTCCAACTGAAAAAAAAAAAAAGCTCTGGCTTCATCTTTACCCTTTCTTCCCCTCATCTCTTTCATTCATTCATTCAGTCATTCATTTGTTTTGTTCATTCATTTAGCAAATATTTATTAAGCAGTTTATACATGCCAGACACTGTGCTAGGTACTGGTGATATGGAAACAAAGGGCACTGTGAGGCAGACACGTAAACAAATAGAATGCTAGGGAATCCACAACTTCAAGACGACATTTTAAAAGAGGAGGAGAAGGAGCTGGAAAGAGTAGAGAAAGAACAGGGTATTAAAAGCAGAAAATACCACATATGCAAAAAGGAAATTAAAAAGCCTGTGTGCGTGTTTGCGCGTGTGTGTGAGAAGTGTGAGGAGAGCAGAGCAAGAAGGCAAACAGAAGGCGGAGAGAGTTTGGCGGGGTCTAGATGTTGGAAATGTGGTCATGATGAGGATCCGGGTCCTGTCCTGAAGGTAACAGGGAACCCCCAAAGAATGGAAAGTAAAACATGCCATAAATAGATTTATGTTTGGAGAGAACATTCTGGAAGGCACATTGCAGAATGGACTGGGTGGGAGGACTGAATTGAAGGCAGGCAGATCGGGTGGGCTGCTGTGTCAGAGATGGGAGCCATGCAGCTGCAAACCAGCACATCCTAACGATTGGCAGCAAATCACCGGACACTTGGAAGAGGCAAGGAAATACTCTACAGGTTCTAAGAGGGGGGAGCATGGCGCTGCTCACACCTTGATTTCAGGCTTCTAGACTCCAGAAT